GAGCCTGGGCGTCGCGCGGAAGCCGTCGCTGCAGAAGCACCCGTAGGACCCCGGCGTGTTCACGCAGTGGCTGTTGGCCGAGCAGTTGTGCGCCCCCGCCACGGCGCACTCGTCCAGGTCCTCGCACTCCAGGCAGGCCGTCGCTAGTGAAGCCCTCCTGGCAGGAACAGGTCGTGACGGCACCGTCCTCCATGCAGGTGGCATTGCTGTGAGATTCAGAGCACCTGCCTGCGGACCGAAGAGCCCAGCCTCAGAGCATGGGCAGCTGGGCCGGTGACCACCCAGATTCCTCCCTCCCCCAAAGAGCCCGTGGTCCTTAGGACCCGAGCTCCAGCTGACTCCCTGGGAAGCAGCGAAGGAACCAGCCTGCCCGTAACGCTGAGCTCCCACCGTTCGCTCTTCTGCGGTAAGCGCTGCCTTCAAGTCTTGTCTTATTTTAAAACACCCACGTTCCCACAGCTGGAGGAATAACGCGCAGAATCCCCAATACTTTGGTAGGATTTGTGTTGAACCTGCCGCCCCTTCCCTGCCTTTGCACATTGTGTGCCCTCTGCCCAGACCCCTTCCCTGCCTCGTGAACCTTCATCAAGGCTCTGCTCAGTGTCGCCTCCTCTCTGAAGACTCCCCCAGCTATGTCGCCTCCTCTCAGAAGGCTTCCCCAGCTCCACCCAGCAAGTCGGTCCCACTTTGTTCCTTTGCAGCAAAGTAACGGTTTTTTAAAATGAGCTGTTGTTTATGGAGCATTTACTACATGCCAGGCAATAGGGTAGGCGCTTTTCACTCATTATCTTGTTGAATCCTTCCCAGTGGCCCCATGAGATCAGATTTTTATTTATCCTTATTTTAAAGATGGGGAAACTGAGGTTCAGAAGGATTAGGCCACGTGCTCCATTGGCACGCAACAGAATCAGGACACAAATCAGAGGGCAGGACCACAGAATACATGCTTGTAACCATGACACCACAATAGTATTTAATGTGCCCCAAAGTGCTCCAGGGAGAAGCTGAAAGCGTAGAGAGGGCAGTGCTCAGCCCAGTGGGAAGCTCTCCTAAAGGTGAGAGGGGAGGTGTTTGGGGACCACCTGGATGTATTCAAATCTCCCATGTGATTGAGTATGTTCCTGACCTTGGAGTAAAGTGCTGGCAGGCCTTAGAGGTTTTCTAGCCCCTTGCCCCTTAACGTGTGGTCCAAGGACCACAACATCAGCATTACCTGGGAACTTGCTAGAAGTTTAGAGACTCAGGCCCCACCCCAGACCTACTGAACCAGAATCTGCATTTTAGCAGATTTCCACGTGAATCCTATGCGCACTAAAGTATAAGAAATGGACTTGGAATAAAGACTATGTGAATCTGGGGCCGGCCCGGTGGCGCACTGCTACAGTGCGCCGCTTGGGAGCGCAGCGGCGCTCCCGCCGAGGGTTCGGATCCCACATACAGACTGGCCACTCACTGGCT